ACACGTTTAAAACTAAACCATACGCTTCTTGATTTTAGCGCTAATCCTTTTTGCACTGTTCCTTTATCATGGCTTTACAGTGAATTTCTATCCGTTGCCCAAATTTCTACTTGCCTTGCATATCAGAAAATGCAGCTAGATCACCTGAGAATCTCATCAACTATCTTCTCTAAGACATCATTTCAGGATTCACCTTTTACTCATGTTGTTTATTATGTGTATATTTAAAGTGCTCGAATGTCAGCATTAGTCATTGCCTTAATGACCTATAAATTCAGCCTCATTCACGCCAATATATTAAATCAAACTTTCAGACTTAAGAGTCTGTGTGCAACTTTCAAGGATATAGGACAAGAAAATAATATTTAAATACTGGTTTCTCTTTCTTAAATTACCTTTTCCTAATCAATTCGTTCATTTGGGTCTTGTTTTCATTCTCAATCTTAGAACAAATAATAATTCTTTCAATAAGATTGTGAATTTATCTTTTTTGCGTGGTTTTAAGGTCACTGTGGCAGTAAAATACGCTTATTGTGTCTTGCCTTTTTTTCTGGAAGACTATTTCGTTCGTATAGTCAGCAGATTCAAGTCTGCCCTCTAAAAATAGATCCTTTCCCACTTTTCTGAACAATTAGAATTGAGTATTGCATTTCCACTTTTATTTTATTGGATTATCGGTCAGCTCTTAAGCCAGGTCTTCGATTTCTGGTCTGAGGCGATTGAGTGTGCTGCTGATAAGCGAAGTAAAGTTGCCTTTGGGATTTCTGAATCCGTTAGCTCGCCTTTCGCCGCTGTGGTTTCACCTTTCTCGTCAGCCGGCGTTTGTACTGTTCAGCCAGTGAACCAGACCATTCTTAGTCTGCCACTTCACCTAACCTCTACAACAGCATCTTCTGGCACTGTTTCCTCTTCTCGCATGAGTGAGGCTCGTGTCTACCATTCGCGTTGCCTTCTTCGCAGAGCCCTGACTTTATGGCGAGCTGGAGTCACAGAGGAGGTCAGGAAAAAGTCCATCATACGACTCGGAGCTGGCTTCAGCCGCCGCATCGACATCCGGCTAACTAGACAAGCATTTTGCCTATGGCATGGACTGCTGATGGATGTAAATATTGCTGAACATCATTCTAGGTAGACCTGATCATTTTTCCAGCGCGCATATAGTACTTTAAGTCATTACAAATTCGCTCGTCTGAGCATCTCTCCACTAAACTTATCCGCCAATCTAGGATGTAATCTGGCCATGAATTGTTATTAAATTTGATATCCATATTGCCGATACCACTACTTCTCATCTAGGACACAATTAATTCGCTTTTAAGTTTTCTCAGCTAATTCATAGCATAGATGTCTTCAATGTGTACTGCTTGCAGAATGTCTGATAGAAGCTCACGTATCTATGTCAGGGCTAAGCATTCTTATTAACTTTCTCTTCGATGATATTTCTGTTGATAAAAGTCGGTTTCAATTAATCTCTCGGTTTTTAATTGTTGAGTTTATTTCCATTCCGAGTGGAAGTGTGCGATAAAGTGATTTTAGGTTCGATCCCATTAGAAAGCAACGATATATTCCCCTTGGCCAGCTGTCGATTGGCTTTACTGGAACATTCTCTCGCTATCCTCGAGGCAATTTCCTTCAAGCTCGATGAAAATGTGCCAAGCTTTCGTTTGTCCCATGACGTAAATTATCGAAGCAGGAAACTATTATTACAAGTATTCAGGCTAACCAGTCAAGAAAATAAAAGCTTATTACAACAACATCTTGGTCTTCGTATCT